ACCCACCCCGCAAAATCCGCCCCTGGACTCCTTCACCACGTCTGACACCGCCAGCCTCCCGGAGCCTCTGGGCATCGGTTCTCAGGGCCTACCCACCCTGCAAAGTCCTTGCCGGTCCCCCCACCACGCCTGACACCGACGGCCTCTTGGAGCACCAGGCCAAAGCTTCTTCGGGCCCACCCACCCGGCGAATTCCTCGCCAGCCCCCCCCCCCCACCGCGCCCCCACCGCGCTTGACTCCGACGGCCTCTTTGAGCCAGCGGGGCGACGCAAAGACGGCGCGCGGGGGGGGGGAAGGGGGGAAAGGAGAGGGGGGAAGGGGGGGGGGGGGGGGGGCGCGCCGCGAAAAAAGGGGTCGGGGCGGAGGGGGCGCGCTGGCCAGCGGGCGCGGGGGCGCGGAGGGGGCGCGCGAGACGCGCGGGAAGCGGCGCCGCGTCGAAATGAGGGGGTCGGGGCGCAGGGCGCGCGCAGGCGGGCGAACGGGGCGACGCAGAAGTAGCGGTCGGGATGAAGGGGGGGCGCAGCGCCGAAATAAGAAAAAAAAGTCGGGGCGGAAGGGGCGCGCCGGCTGGCGGGCGTGGCAATGCGGAACGAGGGCGCGGGACGATGGGGTGCGCGCCGAAATCGAGGAGACGAGGCGGAGGGGACGCGCTGGCTTGCGGGCAGGATAGCCGGGGCGATTCGGAAGTGGCGCGCTGGGTGGGGGGGCGGTGCCGCACCAGACAACCTCTGCTGAGTAATATGACGGCCAGAGCGGACAGAGCGCGACGGGGTCGAGGCGGAGGGGCTGGCTGCGCGGAGGGGCGGGGGGGGGGTCGGTGCCGCGCCGAAATAAAAACATCGGGGCGGAGGGGGCGCGCTGGCTGGCGGAGAGGCGGGGGGGGGGGGGGGGGGCGCGCCGAAAGGGGCGGAGGGGGCGCTGGCTCTTGGACGAGAGGGGGCGGCGCCGCACACAAATGGCTGAGTCGGTCGGGGCGGGGGGGGGCGCGCTGGGCGACAGGACAGGTGACGCGCTTAAAATGAAGCGGTCGGGCGGCGGAGGGGGCGCGCCCGGGTCGAGGCGGAAGGGCTGGCTGCGCGGGGGGGCAGGCGGTGCTGTACCGAATGCGCTGGCCGGTGGGGGAAGGGCGCTGGCTGGTGGGATCGGTGCCGTGCCGAAATACAGCGGTCGGGGCGGGGGGGTGGCGCTTGCTGGCGGGGCCGGCGCCGTGCCGAAATAACGCGGTCGGGGCGGAGAGGGGGCGCGCTGGCTGGCGGGGCAGGCGCCGCGCCGAATCGCAGCGGTCGGGGCGGAGGGGGCGCGATGGCTGGTGGGGCAGGCGCCGCGCCGAAACAAAGCGGCTGGGGCGAGGGGGCGCGCTGGCCAGCGGGGCCGGCGCCGAGGGGGCGCGCTGGCCGGCAGGCTGGCTGCGCCGGCGGGCGGGGGCGAGATGCGGAGGGCCGAAGGGCTGCTTCGGCATGGCTGGTCTAGACAGTGGATGCAGAGGGGGCGCGCTGGGAGGTGGGGCCAACCCCGAGGTTCATCAAGCGTGATCATACTTGTACACCTAGTAGCGTGATAATAACGGTGGTGGTGGAATGATTGTCGTAGAAAACCGGGTGCGGTGATCTGCGTGTGGTGGCTGGTGAATGTTCCAGAGTGCGTTGTCGCGATGATGATGCCAAAATCGTCATGTTGCGGCAGTGGCGTTGGCATCTGGTGTGCGAGAGCCCATATTTGCGCCCGTGGGTGCGTTTGCGTTGTAGCTGGTCCACGCCATGCGGTTGCTTTTGGGTAAACCGCGCGGTGTGCAGTTGGCGCGGGCACAAACGTGCATCGAGCCAAAATAGCTAATCGATCGTCCTCCTCTGCCATTTCCTCCTCCTCCTCCTCCTCCTCATCCTCCTTATCCCCATCCTACTCTTCTATATTCCTGTGCCCTCTCCTTTTGTTCCAGCTCCTACTTCTTGTCAGCTGTCTACATTGCCTCTTGCTGGTGCCTTCGTTCCTGTTCCTTTGCCTCTGCTAGTCCAGTTCCTCACCTCTTCATCTTTTCTTCCCCCTCCTCCTCTTCCTGGCCCTCCTCCTCCTGCCCCTCCTCCCCCTCCTCCCCCCCCCCTCCTGCATCCTCCTTCTCTTCCTTGTCCTCGTCCTGGGCTGCCCCCCCGGTCTTGCTGCTGTTGCTGTTTCTGTTGTTGCTGCTGCTGTTGCCGCTGTTGCTGCTGCTGCCGCTGCCGCTGCTGCTACTCCGCCCCGCCCCAAGGGCGCGCGGGCGGATGGCGAGCGGGGTCGTCGTCGTCAGAGCCGTTGTCGCTGTCGCCGTCGTCGCTTTCCGCTTTAAGGTTTGCTGGGGGATCTTTGGGCGCGTTTGGTTGCTGCTCTGAGTTGCATTCCGCGCCATTCATCCCGGGGCCCCCGCTGCCCCGGTGGCTGGCGCAGAACAAAATCCATTCGTCACCGCCAGTTGCCCTGCCATCGTCCTGTGTCCTGTCGCCGTCGTCGTCTTCGCTGCTGCCTCCT